TGGCTTTGTCTGATTATTTCCTGTCGCCTGCTTGGGTTTTGGGTTTCTTTCGCGTCCAGATAAGACAATGTTAAGATAAGAATAAAATTAAGATAATTATATCTATAAATGTATGCAATGTGTTATGCAACTCTATTCGAAAACTAACCAAGCGTAGCATTCGTGCGGCCGCTAATCAGAAAAGAAAGGAAAATACGGAGTGTTTGGCTACCTGCCTTTTTTTTTTTTCATTATTCCGGTTGTTCTTTTTTTTCTGAAACCACGTCAATGAAAGATAAAATTCTTATTTACCCCACGGACAGCCTTAAAATTAAGCTTCTCTCTTTGTCGATATCTGTGTATGGCCTTTGATCGTGTGCCATTTACGGAAACATGAACGCCTCTGGGCTGTTCTTTCCCAGAAGCAAACCGACAAATTGTTGAAGCACGCCGCGTGATATGTTTACATAAACCCCTTGGCAATTTTTAGGAATGGTAAGGAATAAGTGAAGCAACCGGAAAGTGTATACAAAAAGTTTGTGTTGTGATTTGAAACAATGATTGAAAGTTGCAATTTCCGCCGCTCCATTGGGGATTTTCATTTTCAGCTTTACATGTCGGGGAAAATCCCAGGCGATCGGTGATTTCCTGTTTCCTGACCCTCGCAGATTTGATATATTCATTTGAGACACCATTTTATCAGTGACTCACTCTCTGACACTGGAAGAGGCGAAGAAAACGATCATATTAAAATGAAAATTTTGAATCACAAAAAAATGTCTTAAAGACCCTCGCCACTTCCTTTTTAGGCCTCAGGTATGGAAATTTTAGGTGGCTGTAATTTGACCTTGTCCAGCTCCTATTTGACTAAATTTGGATGTTTGTTGATGAAAGTGAGTGCAAGCCCGTTTTTGAAGTTTTGGATACCCTGGCCAGTTATCGTTACGTCGGAAATTGTTTCTCCGTGATTAGTTATAAGAGTCGGTAAGTGCCAACAAGTAAAATTGAACAAAGTCAACGTTTACAGATTGATTTTCTCCGAATTGTGTGTTCACCATCTTACGCAGTTGGAGGCCTAAGGCTATTACACGAAATCGCACCATCGCGTAATGTTTTAAAAGTCTAGTTCATTATATCGTTTGGCAGAAAAACAAAAAAAAAAAAGAAAAAAGCAAAAAGAAATAAAAAGGAATTTTTGAAGAAAAAGTAACAAAGTATGTTACCAATGAAGCCATCGAATCGGCAACCCTCACCTTCCGAACAAACTTTACAGTTTCCGGCACGGTACACTTTGAAGTATTGTTTCTTTCTCACCCATTTATACACCCGTTGGCATAGAGCTCTACTCGCTATGTTAGTGAAACTGTACTTTTTTAAGCCTACGGTTTTAAGACATATCAAAGCAACTTGGAGAAGCCTGTGATTTGAACGTTTTTCCCTCCGTTGCTTAAAGAAAGGTTGTAGTCTTTGTGGTCCTTTAATCACTGTAGTAACTATTTGCAAATCTCCAATACTATGAGAGAAAACGAACCGAACAGAGGTCGATACATTTTGATCAGACCTATTATTTAATACGGTTCGGATGTCGTTTGATCATGATCCAGGAGACTCAGAAGCAAATAATCAAGCGAAAGGAAAGAAATTGGCGGTTTCGGTTCAACGCGAAAGTTGACATGACCTAGACCACCGAGGATAGTTACCTTGAGGAATGTCTTGTCCGAAACACAGCACATTAAAACATCCAATGACGAGATGAATGCGAACCATTCTTGAACTGATCATTCTAAAGCGCTCTGAAACAACTATAAAACAAGTGATCAACAAAGCGGGAAATATGCAGCTTCCACTTAGCCCAGCCCCTCTTTCCGGTGACAGTTTGATATCTTTCATTCCGCCTCTAGAATTTAATGCCACATAAATTTAAAGTCAGTCAGATTCGCAGCGGTTCTAGAAAATCACGCTGTTACTTATAGCCGGC